AATACAACTGGATGGTGCGAAGCTCCCCAAAGACCACTGATCATACAAAATTACTGAAATTCTTAAATGATCAAACAAAGTACGAAACAGGAAGAAAATTCCAAGGAATACACCATTTACTCCAATTATTTGCTAGCCCACTAAGCTGGCTCAATTCAGGAATTTGCATGTAAAAAGATGACCAAAGCCTTTACCATAATAGCGGAATGTCGATATTCAACAATTTATATAATTGTACAAAATACTACAGCAGATGCTAGTCTCTATTTTTTGGACCATATCCTGAATATTATGCTAAGCAGCCTCAACTATGCCTGCAAGATGGTCAAGAATCTTAGTTTGTGGTCATCATTAATGAACTCATCAGAAACTTTAAGTCCTACTTGTGCTTGATTTAAATTTGAAATGATGAACACATTCACCTTGAAATCCGTTGTAGCCAGTGGACACAGTTCTGAGCTAATTACAAGATGCTATAATTTTCCACCCTTGGGCGGTCTGACCAGATTTTACATATTGCTATAACTGAGAAATTATATTTTGACAAAAGATTATAATTGCTTGTCCATGTGTCAGCTTTGTAGCGATTTTAGTTGAATAGTGACAATGCTAAAACTATACTCTGATGCATCAAGTGATACACCAGATGAACCAGCAAACAATTCTGCACATTGTTGACAACAAGTCATCATTGAAGATCATGGGAAGGATAAGAACTTTAGTTTACAGAAGGTAATGTTGCAAATTCCAGAAGATCAATCCATGTGTGTAAGAATTCCTTATTACCTTTCCTCTTTGTATATATGTCGCCTTGCTCTGTAAAGTGAAGTCTCAGTCATTGTTGGATGGTCACCATAGAGCTTTATTTGCCCAGTCTCTGCCATTGCTTTAAGAAACACCTGCTCCCAAAAGCAAATATCAATCCACAAAGACAATGACAACACTATTGAGATGAAACCGAAGATCCCAGTGATGCAAAACTTCAAACTTTGAGAAGAATATTTTACAGTCATTTTAAATTCTATATCATCTATAGGGGAAAAGAAACATAGAATCTCCAGATTTACTCAGCAATGGTCAAAGAAGCCAATTGTGAATGTCAAGTCAGTCTATCAAAAGTAAGTGTTGATATTCCAATTAAATTAACATTTTTTTTGCAATAACAATCAATTGTCAATTTGAGTGACAAACCGTTTCAACATCAGGCCTCCTCCTTTGCCACCTTGACCATTGTTCTTTTTCTGGCTTTCTCCAGTTCCACCATAGTTCTTCACTTGTAAGTGGCTCTTCTACTGGCTTCTTTGCTTTTGGATCAATGAAAGGGTGAGGTCGTCCAATTTTCTTATCCATCTCGTAGTGACTTAAGTTCTCTTCCTCTGGTTCTGACTGATAAACAACATACTCAGATAACAATTCTTTGGGCTCTTCTAGTACATCATCAGGAATGTCAGGAACTCCACTTGTTTCCGAAGTCTCAGAGGAAGCAACTGATGCTTTATACTTTTTCCTTCTGCTTCCAGGATTTTGTCCATAAGAAGGACTTGTAGTTGAGGCACCCATTGGCTCAGGAGCCCGGGCAGCTCTTACTCGACTTGCAGTCCCTTCTGGCCAGAACTCTTGCCCTGGAATACTTGCACGAGCTCCAGAAGCTGGTTCAAGCTGCCCAGACGTAGAGTCCAAGTAACTATGATATGGAGGAGGTTCAACAGATACTTGCTCGAATGAACTCCCTTCTTTGTTAGAATTCTCACATTTTATACAGGGAAGAAGACGCACATTCCCAGATGAATGGTGCAATCCAACCTTTAACTGCCAAATTGAAGTAACAAATGCCCTTGCAAATGAAGTCTGATGCCAAATAGATGATTAATTGTTAGCATTCTGAAGCAGATTACTAGGCTATCACTTCCAAGAAAAACTGAACTCAACATTCTTGTGAAATGAGCATTAAAAGGCTAGCACAAGGTATGTCTTATAACATGAAATTTAGACATTGAAAAAAAAAAAAAAGAAATCACGTGATTTCACATTTTCATACATTCAAAGAAGCCTACGTCCAATCCAAGCCTGCATTCTTTTCCCCCTCTACTTGCAGGCAATGGATGTACCCATATGCCCACAGCCATATGACTAAGGATGAAGACTTGTATACCCGTCAGAACAAGGGATATAGCTGGAGAGGTTGGGAGCTCTGAGACAAACCATTTCCAGTGTTCCCAAGTTAACATCACTACTGAAATAAACAACTTTTGAAAAATTCAGCAAAATAAACAGAGCTTTTGAGATTGATGATTTTATAAAAAGTATCAGGATAAGAAAGGAGGTTTATCTGTAAAGAGGAAAAGTGCTTCCTTTTTAACCAAGTTTAAAGTGTTCTTACTAAACTAAGCCTTGATAGTCAAACTACCCACATAAAATATAATTTGCTCATTACTACATCAATAGTCTGGGTGATACAACAGTTGATGATAAAATTATGCCTGCACAACAATATAATATATGGATGAAAACTTGTACACCCGTCAGAAAGAGGGCTATAGCTGAAGAAGTTGCAACGTCCAACTATCACTGAGACAAAAGTTTCCAGTATGCCCAAAGTCTGCATCACTACTGATTACTGAAAATAAACAAGTTCCGAAAAATTTCGCATAACAATTGCAGTTTTTTTGAAATTGACCATTTCCTTACAATATCGTTATAAAAAAAGGAAGTTTATCCTAAAAAGGAAAGATAAATTATTAACCAAGATTTAAAGTCTCTTATCAAAACTAAAACTTGATAGTCAAACTACCCATATAGTATTATACAGAATTTCCAGATTAGTACATCAATAATCAGGGTAAGACAATAATTACAGGTGAATGAATTAATTAAAACTCCATTTTACGTAAAATTAAAAGGGAATTATTATAACAGATAAAGGTGTAGTAAGAAAACCTTAGAACCCTGCAAATGGAGCCTCTTGGCAACTGACCCGTCAACAGAAACAATCCTTCTTGATATTCCATTATCTGCAAAACCCACAAACTTTTTAGAACAGAATATTAATAATAAATAAAAAACTGCAGCATCCCATCTCTATTGGAAGTGTTTCAAAACTGAATTTGCAAAAGAATGCATCAAGTGACTGCAGAGAAGTGCAAAGAAAGAGGGACCTTGACACAACACCCAAGCAGGTGATATTGAAGATACCATTTCTGCTATTGGAGATGACAAACCCACTAAAATTTTTGGATTAAATATTTCATTGGCCTGAATAATTACATCCAATGTTACGTAAACTTGTTTTGTTTTAAAAACCTTGTTGTGGGTTTCTTGGCTGGGTTTTAGGCATGGGTTTTATTTTGAAGAAGATAAAGTGCATCGGGGTCGGGTGTATCGTGCTGAACGACGTCGTTCATTTACCTACAGATTGGAGAAGCCACAGTTCAGCTTTGAACCCGGACCAACAATTTGTTGAATCTGAGCTGGAACGGGTCGGATGTATCTCGCTGAACCACATTGTTCTTTGACTCGGAGAGATCGGTGTGCTAAAAAAAGTTCATGTTTATACCGAGATCGGATAGTTTGTTGAATCAAAACTAGATCTTGAAATCGAAATCGAAATCAAAATTATAACTGTGACTAAAGGTTGAGGTTGAGGTTCACCAAAATTTTAAATCGGAATCGAAATTGACAATTTAGAACCGAATCAAATCATTTAAAAAAACTTGCTATCTAAATTTATTTAGCCAATTTAGAATTCAATATTAATAGTTAGGATCTGTGACGCCCCGAACACTAGAAGAATGAGAAATCGAAAATTTTTATATATTTTTTCGACATTATTTTGTTTTCTTGTCTCTAAGTTTGTTTTCTTCAATATATTAATTTTTTTATACATTTCTATAAGGAAATATAGTTTCCAAATCATTTTCTTGATCCAAGTTAGTCCACGTTAATTTTGAAGTGCGTTTTGAACGTGGGACCCGCAAGTGCGGTAAATGCATTATATTTTTGACAACTTGTTAGAATTTTGTATTAAGTGATATTATTTTACAAGGTGTTAAGATATTTGTATTGGAGAGACAAAAAGATAAGTTTTAAACCTAAAGGTGACAAGTGTCACCATCTAATTTACTCTTGACTTTGACAATTTGACTTTACCTTTACCTTTACCAAATAAATATCAAAAAATTGACCAAAATAAGCTCTTATTTCAAGCTCTCTTGGCCGACTTTCTTGCTCAAAGAAAGGAAGAAAACTCTCCACAATTTTGGTCTCCAATCTTGCTCAATCTCTCAAATCAACCGTTTAATCTTGCATTTGTTCCATAAAACTTCTTCTATTAGTGTTTGTGAGTTGTTTGGTGGATTTCTTTCTCCAAAAAGTGAGAGCTCCTCTCTCTGGGTAAGAGCGCGAGTCTCTCTTTTTTGAGAGTTCAAAACTTTTCAAAACTTTCCGCAAACTTTTACACTCAATCCCAAGAATCGGACAAAAGAACATAAAACTTTGTGTTTTGATGATGTTAAGAAGATCGGTTGATAAGCTGTAAATTTGATGAGCCGAACATCTTGTTTAAGCTTATTGTTCCCCTTTAGGGGGGCAGTTTTTCATCTTTAAGGTTCCAGCTCTATGACGGAAAGTGACTGCAAGCAGAAGATAGCTCGGTAAATCAGGTCCAAGGAAACAGACTCCATGGAAGAAGTAGGGTGCTGACAGGTATCCTCACAGCCATACTTTCCATGTTTCACTCTTGCTGTAGTTTTTTTCTTAAAGGTCTCGGGGTTTTCCCCGATCAGTCTTTTCTTTAAGGTTGTTTGGGTTTTTAAGGCTTATGTTTTGGCTTTTCTTCCTTTTGAGTAGTCTGGTCTTTTTGTAGTGAGTCTTTCTTTTCTTCTAGTACGTCCTTGTCTGCCGAGGTAGGAGTCATCTCTGTTCTTGGTTTTTTGGTTTTGGCTGTCCTGCCTTGCTCTTCTCAGTAGTGATAGTAGAGGTTGTCTGGAATCCGCTTATACCCTATGGCGGAAGAACTAACAGATGCGATAAGGAGGTTTGCTCTCTCTGACAAAGAGCTGGAGGGAACTGACCTGGGAGGAGAAGAGATAGATAGAGGTATTCAAGAATGTCAGTTAAGCTTAGTGGGGAGGATAAAAGGTGAGAAAGTGGTTAATTTTGTTGGAGTTAAGAACTTTGTGAACTCAACTTGGGGGTATCCAAGGAACCTTAGGATTATAGAGCTGGGCCCAAATTTGTTTCAGTTTTATGTTCCAAGCAGGGAGGATAGAGACTGGATAGTAGGGGGAGGACCCTGGGTCATGGACAACCAAATTCTGGTAATGAAACACTGGTGCGAGGGTATAGATGATGACATTTCTGCTTTTGATCTTGCACCCCTCTGGGTTCAAGTCTGGAACCTACCTGTGCACTGGATAACAAAAGAAGCAGGATGGAAAATTGGAGGGGTATTTCATGAAGTTAAGGATGTTGTGGTGCCTCAAGTAGGAGGAAAGGAAGGTAGACACCTAAAGTTATTAGTGGTCCTGAATACTTCCCTTCCTCTCTTAAGGGGAACGACAGTCAAAGTAAATGGAATCCTGAAATGGTTGAACTTCAGATTTGAGAGGTGCCCAGATTTCTGTTACAAGTGTGGAGTGATTGGACATGGTGAAAAGAAATACAGGGAAGTAATACAGGTAAGCAAAGGGAAGCAGGAACACCAGTATGGTCCATGGATGAGAGCCAACACTGGGAAAGTATCACCTCTAAAAGAACATCAGAATAAGTATAACTCTGAGATGAATTATTGGGGCTTTAAAGATGGAGAGATGGTACGGTTAAATCCTAAGGCTAAGGAAAATATGGAACATGGTTATAAGGAACCTATGTCTGGAAGGAAGGAAGAAACTAGGAAGAGTAATGATGGTAACATGACAGGCAAGGAGAAGTCCAAAAAGGATGAATGTAGGGAGGTGCAGCAACAAAGAGGAGAGGATAGCAGTAAAGAACTGGAAGGACAAAGTTTAACCCAATATAGCTGGAACAGTAAGAAGGAAAGCTCTACCAAAGAAGCTACAAATACTCTCTCTGAGGGAAACAGTAAATGTATATTAGAGGAAGCAAGGTTGAATATCCCAGTGGAGGAAGAGATGAATGTTAAGAACAAAGGTTTAATGGAAAGAAACGGTCTTGAACAAATAGCACAGGAGCTTATGCATGTCACAGTAATGGAGGATGATTCTGGTAGTCCGGAAACAGCTTTAATGCTAATTGATCCAGGAAGCTCTGAGCTGGGCACGAAGGCTGCCCAGAAACATAACAGGAAAATGAAGAAGCAGTTGAGATCTCCCAAAATCTCTCGTCAGCCTTTGAGGGATCTGAGTGGGAATAGGATATTGGCTAATCAACAAGGAAAAAGGAAACTGAATTTGGTAGATGAGGAAATGGTGGAAGTGCAGGTAACTGAGATTGCTCCCAAGAGAAACAAATTGGGAGAGGGGGAAGCGAATCCTAGAGAGAAAATAGAGGGGGAAGGGGCCAACCTTAACTGGTCCCTCAAATTTCAATGAAGGTTCTGGTGTGGAACTGCCAAGGAGCAGGGAGCCCCTTGACAGTTCCCCAGTTGAGGGAGGCTAATAACCTCCTCTCCCCAAATATTGTTTTTCTAAGTGAAACCAAAAATAGGTATAGTTACATGAGAAGGGTCCAAAAAATACTGAGGTTTGAGGAAAGTGTGATTGTGGAAGCTATGGATAGGAAAGAAGGTATGGCTTTGTTTTGGAATAATGATATTGAGGTCAGGGAAGTAGTAACAACTGCTCTTACTATAGAGGCTTTGGTTTATGATCAGGATCTGCAAATGGAATGGTGGTTTATTGGTGTGTACATGAGCTGTGATGCTACTATTAGGAAGCAACAGTGGAAAGTTTTGACTGCGAGACAACAGTTATGGGGAGATAAATGGCTTCTGGCAGGGGACTTCAATGACATACTAACTAATGAAGAGAAGTGGGGAGGCAATGCAAGAGCAGAGAGGAGTTTCAAGGATTTTAACAGCTTTATTGAATATAACAATCTAGTGGATATAGGCTTTACTGGTAATCCTTGGACATGGAGCAACAACTGGGATGGTGAAGGGGAGATAAGGCAAAGACTGGACAGAGGATTAAGTTCCATTAACTGGAACCAAGTTTTTGACAAGGCTAAATGTGAACATGTGGAAACTGTTGGTTCAGACCACAGCATGCTGCTCATAGATAGTTGGCCCAGAATGGATAAAAAAAGATCACGTTTCTTTTTTGATAAGAGATGGCTTAAGAGGGAAGGGATCAGTCAAGTGGTTGAGCAAGCTTGGAAACAGACAGTGGAAGGTAATAGGATGTATAGGATTACAAGGCAGATAGCTAACTGCAGAGTGGCTTTACTCAAATGGAAAAACAATTTCAAAGGAAACTCTTTGCAAAGAATCAATCAAGTGAAGCAACAGATTAAGGAGATTAAGGAATCTAAGGAATCAGGAGCTAAGGATAAAATCTCAGAGTTGAAGAATCAGTTGAAAGAGGCCTATACAGAAGAAGAGCAGTTTTGGGCTCAAAAAGCAAGGATTGACTGGCTAAGAGAAGGGGATAAGAACACAAAATTTTTTCATGCGTGTGTGAAGGGGAGAAGAAGGCGAAATAGGATGCTCAATATACAAAGGGAGGATGGTTCTTGGACAAAGAGTGAGGAGGAGCTGGGAAAAGAAGTAGCTGAATACCATAGAGTCCTTTTTGCAAGTTTTGGTTGTGAGGGTCTGAGTGAGATTCTAGATGGTATACCTACCACTATCACTACTGAGATGAATGCAAGGCTTACTCAGGATGTTGAGGAGAAGGAAATTAAAACTGCTCTTTTCTTCATGAATCCAAATAAGGCACCAGGCCAAGATGGCATGAATCATTTGTTCTTCCAAAAATTCTGGCACGTTGTGAAATCAGATTTAGTTGCTGCCATTAGGAATTTCTTTCTTTCTAGCAACATGCCTAAGTCTTGGAATCACACAGTCATCTCCCTCATCCCTAAAATCCAGAATCCTACCAACTTGAAGAGCTATAGGCCTATTAGTCTCTGTAATGTTGTGTACAAAGTCATTTCAAAAATTCTGGCCAATAGACTCAAGAATGTCTTAAATCACTGCATTAGTAAAACACATGCAGCTTTCATCCCAGGCAGACAAATTCTTGACAATGTCATTCTTTCTCATGAATTTTTGCATTACATGAACAACAAGAGACAAGGACAGAATGGACTTATGGCTGTGAAGTTAGATATGTCTAAGGCCTACGATAGAGTGGAGTGGAAATTCCTTGATGCCATGATGGAAAAAATGGGCTACTGCACAGTCTGGAGGAAATGGATTTGGAGCTGTCTCTCCTCAGTCACCTACTCTTTCAATATTAATGGTGTACCAAAAGAATTTGTAATTCCAGAAAGAGGAATAAGACAAGGTGACCCTCTGTCACCTTATCTTTTTCTCTTATGTTCAGAAGGTTTCTCCAATTTACTGAAGCAGGCTGAAGGAGATAAAAGGATCACAGGGATAAAGATTTGTAGAAATGGGCCAAGACTGACTCATTTATTCTTTGCTGACGATTCCTTGATTTTCTGTAATGCTGAAAAAGAGGAAGCAAGGGAACTTGTACAAATTCTGAGGAAGTATGAGAAGGGGTCTGGTCAATCCATAAATCTGGAAAAGTCCTCAGTTTTCTTCAGCCGCAATGTCAGTCATCAGAGGAAAGGGGAAGTGAGACAAAGCCTTGGTCCAATCCAGGTGGCTACACAAGGAAAGTATCTGGGGCTCCCTATGGTGATAACAAGATCAAAGCAGCAAGTGTTTGGTTTTATTAAGGATAGTATCAGCAAGAGGATGACAAGCTGGAAAAACAAGCTGCTCAGCCAAGGAGGGAAGGAAGTGTTATTGAAGGCAGTTTCCATGGCAATGCCAGTGTATACCATGTCCTGCTTTAAACTTCCAAAAACTCTGTGCAAAGAAGTGACCTCCATTTTTGCGAAATATTGGTGGGGAGAAGCTGATGGGAGAGATAAGATGCACTGGTGCTCGTGGGGAAGAATGGCTATGGAGAAAAAGGAGGGAGGATTAGACTTCAAGGACTTACAGAAGTTTAATAAAGCATTGCTGGCTAAACAGGTTTGGAGGCTGATTACCAAACCAAACCTCTTAGTCAGCAAGGTATTGAGGGCAAAGTATTTCCATAGGGACTCTATCTTCAAGTGCAAAGTTCCTAACTGTGCTTCATGGATCTGGCAAAGTCTAATGAATGTAAGAGATTTGGTGCAAAAGGGAACTAGAAAGAGGATAGGCAATGGCAAGACAACAAACATTTGGGAGGACATTTGGATCCCTGGTAATGAGGATGGAAAAGTCACTTCCGCAATGCCTCAGAACTGCACTATCAGAAGAGTGGATGAGTTGATCAGTGGATTCAGGTGGAATAAACCATTAGTGATTAGAACTTTCAACCAGAAAGATGCGGTGGAAATCTTGGATATCCCTATCAGTATCTCTGGTAGGGAAGACAGTAACTATTGGGTTTATAGTGGTCATGGTAGCTATACGGTCAGCCTAGGGGAAATCAACCTAGGGGAAGAGGAGATAACGAAGCAGAAACAAGCTCAGCAAATTCTAAAGGGAGACAATGGAAGGAAACTGAAGATAAAAAGTAAGTTAAAACATTTCATTTGGAGGTGTCTAAATGGTATTTACCAGTTAACGACCTGGTCTTTAAAAGAACACACCAAGGTGACCCAATCTGTGATGGTTGTGGAGAAAAGGAAGAGTCAACTGAGCATATGTTCTTCCATTGTACCAGAGCTCAAGAGGTTTGGAAGATGGCACCAGTACAGTGGGAGGACTTGTCTGATTAGACTGGAAATTTCTCAACTTGGTGGACAGCTATGCTGGATGCTTTATGTAGGATAGAGGGTAGGGAACATATAGAGCTAACTGTGAACATCCTGTGGCAAATATGGAAGAGGAGAAATGAATGGAAGTTTAATGCAAAACGTAAACATCCATGGAAAACAGTCAAAAAGGCTCAACAAGAATGACATGAGCAAGCAACAGTTTGGAGCTTAGAGAATACGACCCCTGAGGGTGCTGAAAGAGATAAAGAGGAGGAAGAACCAGAGGAGGGAGGAAGTGATGAAATGCAGATTAGAATCTCAACTCAAGTGCATGAATCAACTAATAGAATTGGCACAGGGATTATAGCAACTAACTTCAACCAGCAGCTGGTGGCAGCCTGGGCACTTACTGACAGGAAAGCAAGGAATCAGCTGCAGAATGTTGCTGAAGCTGTGAAGATGGCCATTATAAAGGCCAGACAACAGCAATGGCAGAAAATTACAGTCTACATACCCAGCTCTCAGCTGTTGAAAGGGCTAACGGAAGGAATAGCCAAGGATATCAAACTGGCTACTTTGACTGATGATATTAACAATTTAAGAGCTTTATTTCTGAAATGCTCCTTTTGTTTAGATAGGAGATTAGACTCCAGATATGAACTGATTAGTGGTTATGCCTTAGGCATATTTCAGGATGAGAAATGGATCAATCCTCAATGTGTCTAACACTTGTGTATAGTTGTTACTTGAGCCTTTGCTCATATAAGTGTGTATCCTTTTGTCTATCAATACAAAATTTACCGTTGCTGAAAAAAAAAGAGTTGTTTGGTGGAGTTATTTGGAAGGTTAAGGTGCCTAGTTGTTCTCTCTCTTCTATTGCTAAGGTGAGTTGTGAGGAACCACTCTCCTTCCTTAATTGATGCTTAAATCATGATTAGTGGTGGTATAAGGTGCAACTTTATGGATTATATTGTGATTTTTGGTTGAGTTGGTGAAGTTTTATAATTATTGGGGATTTTTCTGTTTTAATATGAACATGATTGTGTGGCTATATATAATGATTGAAAATGATGTTTAAGAACTCTATGAGGTGGAAAAGTGGTTAATTGCAAACAATTTCTGTTTTGGAAGAAATTTTGGAAAGTTAGGGTTTGATGTTCTTCATTCTGCCCGAATTTGTAGCTCATAGATAGAGGCCGAATTGGCCTTGGCTTAAAATATGAAAGTTGTAGGGAATGACATTTTAAAGGTACCTACAAAATTTCAGGTCAATCGGAGTAGTGTGGAATGAGAAAAATCGAAATTACTATTGCTGTTTTGGTTTTACCCGAATGTAAGAATTGCGCCTGTAATTGGTTGTTTTGGCTGGAATTTCTTCCGAATTGGTTGTTGAGGCCTTCTAATGAAATTTAGCCCTATTTCTTAGCTTTCAGCTGGTTTTGGAATTTCTGGATTTGGACTTGAATAGCCTGATTTATGATGTTTCCGCTAGAATACGTTCTGTGAATCTGTTTTTCCGGTTCTGGTGTAGTTTCTTACATTTTTGACCTGGTTACACTCGAAACTGGGTTGAGTGACCTTCTGCAATATTGTAGCCCTGTCTCTTAGCTTCGAAACGGTGGGTCTTGCACCTTCATCCGACAATCGTAACACCTTTGGTACCATTACCGTAAAATGACGTCAAAACAGTTTTTTCTGATTTTGAGCTTAACTTTCATTTCCGAACTTTTCCCTAACTTGAATTGTACTCGTATTACTTGGAGCTTGCTGAATGGCTATTGGATGAACTTGTTGTTGTGTGTGTACCTTTGGGACTGGCTGAAGATATAATGAAACCATGATGGCTGGGAAAGTAAGCAAATTTAGGGGAAGTGCTGTCCGAAGTTTTAAAGGGTTTGATTGCTTTGAGTTTGTGATCTAAGACTTGGATTTGAGCAAGGCAATGATATATGATGGATGGTTTCTGAGCCATGGAGGTGAGTGACCTAAACTATTTCTGAAGTTATTTATGAACCGTTTCCTGCATTATTTACTTTTGAACTATTTCCAAAGTTCCTCTGGCTTTAAGTTTGAATACCAATCGAGAGCGTCTCCCTCTAGACTCTCTGGAAATAATATTAACGGCAAGTTTTCATCATCCACCGGCCTGCCCAATTTGTTGCACACAAACGCAAGTGTGTCTTAGGGTTGCCTGTACCATCATACTTATTGAATTTCGGGGTCTTGAGCCCTACGGGCAACTGTACATTTGGAAACAGGCACAGATCATCGTAGTCTAAGACCCCTTGTTCGCTTAAACCTTGATTTTTGCTGATGAACTTATCGAAACGATCCAACCGCTTAAGTAGCTTGATATCCACCGGGGCAGACAACTCTCCCACTTCCGGCTTGGTTTGAACAGTGTGCTCTGGTACAACAGGCTCTGCGGTAGTCTGATAAAAAGCTTGTGGATCCAGAGGCATATTTGGACCACCTTGAGGATGAAATCCTTGCCCATAGGGAGGATAGAACAGAGGATTCTGAGTATAAGTATACTGCGGGTTGAAAACTCCCTCAAAAGTGGTTTGAATTGGAGGAATGACAAATGGTTCGGATTCCGGTTGTTTGACGGGCACAGGCTCGGGCTGCACTCCTCTACTAATGAGCTCGTCGATCAACTTCTTTTGGTCGGCCATTTCAGATGCCATTTCTCCAAATTTAGTGAGTAATTCAGTCAACTGAACCCCGGGACTTGTGGCTTCCGGCTGGGTAGTTGCAGCGGTCTTATCAGACGATTCTGACTGAGTACTCATGTCTACACGATTCCTATGGGCTTTACTTCGGGATCGCATAATAATGGGGTTTCGACGAGAAACTGTGTTTAAAATTACCTAAAAATATGAAATGACTTGCCTTTAGATCTTAGCCCTGGCTTAGCTTTTCCAACAAAAATAAAACAAAGAAAAAGAAAAAGACAAGAGTTAGTAGATATCCAAACAATTCGGATGCATGTCCTATTGGGGGACCCTTTTTGCGCCAAGGGTAGGCCTAGTATGATGCAACACTTTCGGAATGAGACCCGTTGTTCAAACCTGTTATTTGACAAACACTTTGTGAAAAGGGAGAGATTCATTTCATTGCAGAAACCAAAAACATTTGTTTACATCATATCACGAAGGCGATTTTGTACAAGATTACCAAAATTTTTGAGCATATCAAGTACAGAATCTCTACTTTCTCTAGCATATGGCATCTTGACACGTTCGGCTTGATCACATAATTCCCCACATTTCCGCTTCATCTCTTGGCGCTTTTCTCGCTCCTTTTCATATAATCTCCTGTTTTCTTCTGTCTTTTCTTTGTGTGCCTCGACGGATTTCTTCAACTGTAACACCTCTTTGTCCCTGGCTTTCACAATGCCTCTCAACTTCTCGATCTCCCCATACGGCTCTTGCGTGGTGGAGTCTTTTAACCAATCCTCGTATTGTGCAGTTATTACCCCCTTCTGTTTGAGCTCCGGAAGATAACTAATGCTTCTATCGTCGGATATTATTCTCCAAGATTCAGTGATTTGGCTCTTCATAGGGATCTCTTTTGGGCGTACCCCCTGATCAAAGAAAATGGTGACTTCACTAAACTCGGAAATAGGCGGCGACCCCTGAATGCGACCTAGTTGTCTGAGAAACCTATTCGGGGTATATGAGATGATTCCTTGAGTACCCAGCAAGAGAACACATTCTGATGCCTTAGTGCGAAGTATCGGTTTAAAACAATCCGTCCAATCTAATACCCACCTAAGGTTATGATCTGACAGCGTTTCCAAGTAGTCCACATATTCAGATGCGTTCTTCGGTAGATCTTCTTCGTTGACTCTTTTGAGATGTGTAACTATCCAATTGTATCCAACTACCGGCAAACTATTGGCAACAGATGCTTGTCTCTTAAAATGCCCCGTAGTGTGACGGCCCTACCTCCCCCTAAGGCGAACCAAAGGGTTTAGCGGACCGCCTACCCGGCTCTCGCCGGAACTCAATCGTTCCTTAATCAAATCCAGAATAAATCACAAGAATAAATAGGGCAGCAATCCAAATTTAAAGCGGAACTTATATACATTGCTATCTCAAAAGGAAGTACAGTCATCAAATGTACAAAGGTTCTCACTTCACCATACAACCAACCCGTGCCAAGCACTAGGGCGAGAACCATTACAAAAGAAACAAAAGACCTAGACTAGGCTAGTCTATGCTCTCATCCTGCTCACCGTCCCCTGTTAAGGAAAACAAAACTAAAGGGGTGAGCTAAAAGCTCAGTGAGGTTTCGAACAGCTAATCAAACAATCAATTCAACACATCAAACATGTAGTATCAATAATTCAAGAAATATTTACAATGGAAAGCAATAGTAACATTCATTAAAAGGATACGGGCTCACATGGAGCTATTCGTTCTTTCGTTCGTTCCCCTGACATTTCCCCTTATTCCTCCAATTATTTGAAATTTCCTTTTTGAGAAATAAAACCCTCGTGCCTTCGTTCGTTCATTCATCTCTTTCCGGTCATTGACCGGACTCCACCCATCCGGACGTTGACCGGACTCCACCCATCCGAACGTAGCCGGACTACAAGGTAATACTCGAGTATACCAAATTCACCCAGGGTCACCATATCGCCCGATCGAGTCCGTTTCTGGCTCGAGTCGATCGGTAACGAAGGGCAGGGCCCAATTCAGCCAAAAGGCTTACATCATGCGCAACTAATGTTTCCATCATTAAATCATTGAAAATTTCACGTTTCATTAAGGTCGAGCGCGATAAAGTACACGCTCGCCTAGAAAACTGGTTTTAGAAATCCTTGAAAGCACTTAACACATTATCAAACAACAACAACAAGTCATGAAGTCAGGGAGAATATAACAATAAGGAACACTCACCTAGTTATGCAAAATAACGTGCAAAATATCCTTCCGGATATTACCCTTAGTCACCAATGAAACCTAAAGTTGAACAAGAGAACATATTACAGTTTATCGAGCAAAACATTTAAGGGAAACAAAGAAACCCGACTAATTAGGAGTAAAACGTGTAAAGATGACTTTCAAGTAAGAAGAGGGTTGTTTGAACCCAAGGATGAAAAATCACGTTTTAAAATGGAAAGCCGGTCATGGTATTGGCCAAATAGAAATCTAGCCCTCGAGCGAAAATTTGGGCAGCACGCCCTTTGTGTTTACCTAATTTTCCAGCCATTTTGGCTTCATTATTTTTCCTCAGCCAATCCCAAAGTCATACATATCATAAATTCAAGTCAATAGCCATTCCATAGGCTCATAACATCATAAGAACAAGAATCAAAGTAATAACAAGTGCGGAAATACAATCTAGCAGAAGACAGATTTGACGTGTGGTTGCGGAAATAACACATCCGAGGCTACGCTTATCGAATTGAGGCGTAACTTATGCCGTTTCGAAGCTAAGACACAGGGCTACAATGTTCATGAAGATCACTTAGTCCAGTTTCCAATGAAACCTAGTCAAATCCTCAATTTATAGAACCAAAATCCAACTAGTCGGCTATCTAACCGCACTGCACTGGAATGGTCATATCTTAGGTTACCAAGGTCCATTTAGGGTGTTCTTGTAGGCGTTGGAAAACTTAAACAGATTAATAAAACTTTCATGTTTTGGGAAAAAGCTAAATCAGCATGGATCCTAGTGAACAAACATGATAAACTGGATGAACTGACGAAAACGGA